ATTTAGAAATTTTCATCTTGCGTCTGTCTGTAGATGTCATGTACAATGACTATTCTCTCTTCTGTTTTTTTTTTGTGTGTGATTAAAGGTGGTAAATATGATTAATTTTTTTAATAGTAGAAATCTGTAAATTGAAGTTCAAAACTGAAACTAACACAAAAAAGGAAATAAATAATCATTCTGCTTAAAAGGTCTACTTTCGGGCACTAGACTCCTGCACAATATAAACCATTGACCTATTTAATACCGACTTTATGAAGAATATATTGCGAGAATAATTAATCCAACTCCAATGGAAATATGACCATTATTATTTGCCTTCTTGGATGCATATCTTGTTGACTGAAACTTTATTTTCAATGTCCCAGTGCCTTCATATCTCATCTCATGTCACAACTGTGGCCACGGAACTGATATGCGAGGCTGCCCCCAATCTCCTTTAGTCCCTGAAGGTATGTATATCTAAAGGTCGGAATCTTGTACAAACTACATAATTGAAGTGGCCATATGACTGCCATGATCTTTAATAATATATTTGGTGTCCTATGTTTTGCTGTGCTTAAAAGTAAGTTAAACTTACATTTTAGGCTAGTTTCCCAAACATGTTTTGAAAGTTGCTTTTCTAACTGGCAAAACTTACCTTCTCCAGAAAGAAAAGTTGGAACTTTTTTTTCTTTTATTTCAGTACCTTTTAGCAATTTTTTGCAGTGTTCTCAATTTTCAATTTGTAGGTCCATGCTTTGTATTAAGGTAGTAGATAGTACTTAATCTGAAAATCGCAGATATTTAGTAGTCAAAATTATTTTTATCCACACAATTGTAGACTTTCCAACTTACTACTCACTATCCACATATTCCATAGAACCCATAGCTTGAAAACACTACCACACAAGCACTAATGTGATCTTTAATGAGGCTCTGTTGTTTCCATATCCCAGGTGATGCCAAAAATTGCAGTTCCCCTGATGCGGTTCGTAAAGTAAGGCAGCAGATCACAGATCACATTGACTTGTGGCTGTCCCTGTGCCTGGATTCAGGTAGAAGTTCAATGTAACAAAGTTAACATGCTTACGGTCCCATTGGATCGCATCCACACAAAGGCTGTCTGCATAAACTGTATCTTGAGTGCATGTTTGGTAGACGGTGTTAGATAGGACTTGAGATTTTAACTTATTTTTTTTTCCTTAATACAATCCAGTGCTCTCGAATCCTCACTACCAATCATATATCTTTTGTATTTTGTGCCCTGCGGATAAATATGACAATTGCTTCTTCCCAATGCCATTGCAGTTCTATGAAACAATCGTTAGTTGTACAGTCGTGTTCACACAAATAAGGAGCAAAAGAAGAGAGATACAGCAGACGAGCTCTCTGTTTGTTTAGAGGGCTACGTTTTCCTAGACCCTCCTTTCTAATTTGCTGATAGCAAGGAGAACAGAGACACTGGGGTGACCTATTCCACTACTTGATTTACTTTTCCACTTTTACCATGACGTTTTCGAATGTTACTCATTTTCCCTTTTCATGATATAATAGTTGTTCGGTAAATTGACTTGCCCTGTGGGGAAATTCTCTCGTCATACTCTTGAAGGCAATGCTGTCGTCTGGGGAAAAATTAGACGACTCCCTTCTGAGTACATGTATGTATTCCGTCCCACTTCAACACCAGCAAAGCTGTACGGGTATGACGTGGCAGATTAAAGGCATTTGCAAGCTCCCATGCCTTCTTGAGGTTGTGAAGAGCTCACGACTATGAGGACGTTATATGCCATTAGTTATGAGCACCTATGTTTCGCAAGGCCTAAGCCTAACTTCAGAATTTGAGCTTTTAAATCGTATCAAGTAATTATTTTTTTTTATTTACAAGAGTTTTGTGGAACTAAATTTGTTAATTTAAAATCAATAATAAAAAAATGAAATATTCAAATTATTTATGTTACAATCAAATAATAGTGCGAAAAATATTATAAACGATCAATTAAATACAACTCATCTTACGGTCTTAAAGGTAAAAATATCAATAAATTTTGAATAATCAAGTTATTTATCCATTTCTTTTTCAATAAATAACACGTCAATTCAATCAATTTTTGCTACGACATATTTGATTGGAGATAAGTCTTGATGAATTTCAACTTGGAAAAACTTTTTGTTGCAACTGTAATCGGTATCGTATTTGACTAAAAAAAAGTTGTCCAAACAATCTATAAACAGAAAAGGAAAAAATTAAATAAAAATAATCAATGATTATCAATGTTTCTAACCTAGCTATAGTGGGAGAAGAATTCCTTCCATTACACGTGAATGATAAATACATTTCCTATTCATAATGAATTTAATTTCACATAGAATAGGAAATAAATTTTGTATCTACACAAGGGGTTAAATTTTACACATTTTCTCACTTAACAAGAGCTCACGGCCTAAGAGAAGACAAATTGTAATTGCAACGATAATAATGATATACTATCCAATGTCATAAATATTTTCATAATGTAACACAGTGAAATGGAAAAATTTAAATTACATCTTATTTAACCATATATTCCACACAATTGCTCCATAGAAGACACTAATTCACATTAATTAATAATGGATCATAGATTGAGAAAAACAATTCAATCTCACGCACAAATCAATGATCCGATCAACAAGTTATTAAAAAAATGTAATTGAATTTAGAGACAAACTATACAATAATCAATTAAATATATAGAATCTACAAGTCCAAGCAATTAAAAAAATCAAGATTAATAAACGATCAAATGAATAAAGATGTATGTAACGATGCATAAATATATATCGAGTGGGTGTTACACAATGGAATGAGTATTTCTAATACAAACACTGATTCCGTGATTCACGATATCGTTGTTGCAAAAGCCTCATTGTTTGGAACAATCGAGGAAGAGTGAACGAGTACAAATGACCGTGGTTATTTAAAATTAAAAAAGGTAATAAAAAAATTGTTTTGGACCCCTAAAGAGCTGGGCCTATGGCTGCGGCCTCTTGAGCTTCTCCTGATGTCTGACTATGGTTTGGAGCTTGGTTCATTGCGTAATTTAAGAGTATCCTCTGCTTCATATCGCCCACAATATTGATATATGAAGGGTTGCACGAAGGTTTCTTCATTGAAGAAGCCTGAGGCGTATTCAGCAACTTGTTTTGGTATGGCCTTTTCCTTCTTTCGGTTTTAGGCAAAATATAAAAGAGAGAACGAACCCAAGGAGTTTTAGTTTAGAACTTGGCTTGCTTCTCGCTGAGAACAGAGGGTGACTACAGAAGCACGAAGTACTATATTCAAACTCCAAAGTACATACTAAGAGACCATCAAGAATTCTAAGCCTCACCACAAGATAGTCTATGCAGGAGAACAAATGGATTTGCTTCTAGTTTCAAAACAAAGAGGGATTCAAACCAATTCTTCGAGCTCGAGCCTAGCCAAACAACAAAAATCCTATGCGAGCCACTCGTCGACTCACAAGAGTGGCTTGAGAGCCGGATGTGATGGCTCATACTTGTAATTGTTGAGTGATATACAATTTTCATTGGGACATAGCATCATTTTGGGTAACTAAGTTTAGAAGGTAATTTCAAGGTTCATGTTATCATTTTTGAGTTGAAGAAGCTAGTCTCCCAATCTATAAGAGATCGATAAGATAACTAGACATAGCCGCGTCTTAATATCAACAGGAACAAGAAAAACAAATTTTGAGGAATTAAAAAACTCGAAAAATTGGAGGGCAAAAATTAGATCGTCTTAATTTGATTGACCAAGAAAGCTTTGATGAGAAGATATAGGTCAATTCGTTCTTCGAGATGACTACTATCTTTGTATAAAAGGTCGTGACCCCATGTCTTCGTCAAATATTTGAATCTTAATTGTCTGTGTGATACTGTTTCAATTAGAATTAAAGAAATTCTACCAGAATAATTTGACCAACAGTTTGTTTACTTGTTAAAATTATTTTTTCCCATATTGAAGGGGAAAATAAAGCATTAGAAACACTAATAATAATAATAATAATAATAATAATAATAATAATAATAAAGGGTTGTTTGACAAAATTTTCAATAAAAATTTCTATAGATATCGATAAATGTTTATAAAATGTGTGGTTGAAAAATTGTGAATTCAATAAAGTGTGCAATTAAAATCAAAGTTTATCATTCGAATTTGAGCTAAGTTTCATCCAACATGTACTAAAGATTTATGTTGGTCAATTTATTTTATTTTAGGATTTCGCTACTTGCACACAAAAAATGTATATAATGAATTACATAATATGACGCGGATGAAAAATATTGGATGAAAAAGTTAATTGTATTTTAAACTAATAAATTGTAGAGTGTCACGTGACATTATGTAATTCATTATATAAATCTTAGCTCACGTTTGGTCTCCATTATTTGAAATTTTAATTGTTGGAATACTGTTTTTTTGAAGAATATGTGATTAAATTTCTTTTTTTAAATTAAGTATAATATTATTTTATTGAAAAATATGTGGTTGATAAAAAGAGAGAAAAATAAATTATAATTTAACGAGGAATAACGATCGACAAATGATGGCTTACTGTCCACGTACAAAATCCTTTATCTTAATTTTCGTTTTGGCATGTAATTGACTCGACGAAATAAACAATTATCTAATTTCAAAAATAAACGCTGCGACTCGTATGATTTTGAAATTTTGGATTCTTTGATATCCAGCAACACAATTCCAGCAAGAAACCTTTAAAATCCTCACGTTCCCCTAGGAATCAGCAAAATCGCCATTGCCCAAGAACCCATACCCTCTTTTTCTCCGTCTGTCTATAACCAAATTGTTGACAATAATATCACCTATAATCGATCTAATTATTATTGCAAGATTTAGTGCAATCGCATTTCATAATCAAGTCAACAGCCACCAAAGCACATATATTCTGCCAGAATCTGTTATTTTTCGCTTCTGGGTTCAATTCCTCAATTCGATTCGAAGAGTCCTGTGAAAGGAAATGGCCGCATATGCGGCAACTTGGCGCTTGGCACAATTAAGAACTTGGTCCTGCAGAACCCACTTGTTTGGTGCGAACAGGTTCGAAGCCAGACCCATATCGGAGCTAGCCAAATCTAATGGCAAACGACTCTTTCTGGTCGACACATTAGCCCTTGTAAGCAATTTCTTGCATTTACTAGGTAACATTGAGTTAGGGGTTTGATTGATTCAGGATTCGAATTACATACGATTGATATAAATTATATTTGAATATTTGTTACAAAAGGTGAGGAGATTAGAGGCTCAAGGAGTTCCGTCAAAGCAAGCGGAGGCTATTACATCTGCCATGACTGAAGTGCTCAATGATAGCTTAGAAAATGTGTCTTATTCCTTTGTTTCTAAAGGCGAAATGCAGAAAGTAAGCTCCACCTCCCTGCGGTCACTCCTTGCCTAGTTTCCCGGTTTTTGCTGGTTATTTTTATTTTTCTAGCTATATGTTTTGATATTTAGCCCCTGTTTGGTGGATTAATTTTGACCACACATTTCATCCGATTAAGAACTTTTTAACTACAAATTTCATGACTTCTATCAAAAAACTACTGATTTTTGTCCTCACCAAACGGGGGCTTAGAACTGAATATAGAATGTGCATTTTTTTGTTAAATGGCTTCTTTATGTTTTGTTTCGTTCTTGCAGAATGAGATGACTCAGGAAGCCAATTTGTCCAAATTCAAATCTGAAGTTAAAAGCTCTCAGGTAGCCCACATAATTCACGTGCTTTATTTGGGGAATATTTCAGCCATTGTGCCTCTATTATCCGCACCTTCAGATTTTGTTTTCCAATTGGTTGAAGGAGTTTGATATTATGACAAAATATATCCCGCACGGCTAATTTTCTTTGTTAAACATTGTCATGGTCTTATTTACTTGCAGCGTGAAAAGGCGTTGAAGAATTTTCTTTAGATTACTGAAGCAAGAGGATTGTTTATTACTAAAAGGCCTTAATAACAGTTATTTCAAATTGATCAATGCGAGTTGAAGAGAATTATGTGGTCTCTTAGTGGTTAGGAATATCACAGTGGTTCTAGAGGTAACCTTGCCTACAATGCATGTGCCTAAGATTTGACCTGCACGATAACAAATATTAGATCCTATTTTATTATAATTTTCATTCAGATGAAAGGAAAGTGCCAGGGTATTCTAGATCTCACGAAATTCCATATATTGCATGATGTATTGGCTTTTGTTTTGTCATTCCACAATGTGGTTTCTGCAAAATCTCAAGTTATATTGTATGTATACAAGGTTTGCATGTCTGTCGCACTTTAATTTCTGACACCAAAATAGTCCAATTCAAGAACGACAAAGGTCTGTCATTTATTTGATACTTGAAGCTAAAGCAAGTGGGAAGCCTTTAACGTTGTCATGCAGAGGTTAAAGGGGTCCTTGTAAGTTCTTATCCTTGCAACCTAGTTTGAGAATAGCAAGGAGGAAGTGTACATGTTTAGGGTTCTTGGAGCCATGAGATATTAGACTATTTAGAGAAAGGGAAGCTTCAAAACTATTTAGAGGGCTTGCAATTCACATAATCCTTACTCTCTTCTATTTTGTCTTTACTTTCTGTTAGACCTATATTTTTCTCAAGCTTATCATGCTAAATGTATTCAAAGAAATTTTCATGGGTATTCAATTCTTTCACTGATCAGTTCTCTGTTTCTTTGGACTGGGAATTCCATGAGATCTTTGCAGGCTAGGGAATACTTACATAATCTGTTTGTGGTGGAAAATTACTTGGATCCTACGAGTTGTTCCTACATACATGGGAGGAGCTTTGTCCTAATGATTGATGTGGAATAATTGTAGGACAAAACTTTCCTCCTTTTATTTATGTTTTACGTCGCATAATAGCCCAGGAAGTACCACATAATTAATCAGGATTAAATCAAATAAACATGCTAAACATGTTACATATTAGTATTTATGAAACTAGCAAACACTTAGCTAAGTAACTCTTCCAGTCATTCTTCAGCATTTATTCTTCAAGTTTGAAAAAGAAGAAGCATCATGAAACTTTTTTGGTAACTTATATGATTGGGAGACCCTGCTAGAAGACTGTCATTGTTGTGATAGAGAAACCTTCGACACCTTATTGGAGAAGTGATTGCTGTCTGATTCAAGAATGATAAGAGATTTTTTATTTTTTGTGTAAAGGTAGGGTGATTATGTCTTTGAACTTGTGGGGTTGCTACATTTTCATGTCTACAATAGTTTTGATGCACTGAAAATTCCAATTTATTATTGGGGCTTGTTACCTTGCATGATCTAACCACTTTGGTTGGTTGCCAGTAGATTTTGTGGGATGTTTGTATCAGAAAAGTGAAGAAAATAATAAAGAAAATAATTCGTGCATGTTTTGACATTTTGTTGAATGAACAGTTGAAGGGAGAACTTGTACTTAGTGGGTTGAATGAAATTGACAAGTGTTATAGGAATTCTATGTGATAGGAAGGTTCATTGGGGGTCAAAAGGCAAGTTCTACAAAATAGTGATTGGACCGGCAAGATGTGCATAAGATAAAGGTAGCAGAAATGTGAATGGTATGATGGATGCTCAGTCATACTATAATGGATAATCTAAAAAATGAAAAGATATGCCAACAAGTTGACATGGGGCCGATTGAGAATAAATTAGAGGGAGGATGATTTAGGTAGTTGGATTATGTTTTGGATTGACCTAAAGAGGCTCCTCTTCATAAGAGCGACACTATTTCGGTAGAGATAGAGAGTAGACCAAAATTAACGTGTTGTTGTATTTGTCGAAGATCTAATTACCTAAGATCTATCTAGATCCAGCAATGAACATAGCTGTATGGTGCAAATGGATTCATTTAATTGACCCCAAATTTACAGGGAATGAGGTTCTGATTGTTGTTGGAAATTTGATAAAATGGATTGTTACAATTTCCTGGAAATTTTCCATGGTTTTGCAGGAATTCTCATGTGGGAATGTGTTCCCACAGCTTCCCACCTACAAAAAGCAAGATAAGGGAAAAATAATTAATTCTCTCTTCCTGTCTCTTCAAATGTACCTACATTAATTTTTGATACTAAAATGCTACATGGGGCTTTTAACACTTTTTGATCAACTCGTTAGGTAATATGACTTTTTGAAATAAGTTTAGAAGATCTCCTTCCATCTTAAATTATTCTTGGTGCTTTCACTTGGCATGAATATCTAGGGCTCGTTTGACATGGTTTTTGCTTTTGCTTACTGTATAAGAGCTTTTGAAGGAAGTTATCTTAATTTTTGTTTAGAAACTAAGCCCCGGCCTTTATTTGGCATTATAAAGTTTTCCCAATTTTTCAACAGTGGCATATTAACTAAAAAGTACCTACCCACCTGACATCCGCAATTTCTTTGTATTGGATTACAACGGTTGAAAATTGATTTTCCATTGATGCCCTCAATGTCAAATTCCAAATTACAACGTTACCCTCGATGACATAGAAACAATTTTTTGTTAGCAGTTCAAAACAATTTTGAGGGTAGTTTTGGAAACATAAAAAATTGCATTAAAAAAGGGTCAATTGTACAACTTAAAAGAAAGTGATAAGACTGCATTTCATCACTCAAAGGCCCACTTAACTGTAGACAACATTGCTTTCGAGCAAAAAAAGGCTAATTTTTAAAAGCGCTTCCTATTTCGGAAGTGCTTTTAGAGGAAGTTAAATTGAACTGGCTTCTTCTAAAAACTCTACTAACGGAAAAAATTACTTCCATAAAATTAGTCAAACGAGTCCAAAAGCAGTTTTGGGGTCTCAAAAGCTCATTTTGGCCTTTTAAAAGCCATTTGAAATTGGCCCTTAGATGATTGAAAAGTTAATTTGGTTTGCATAGTTTCCCATTTCAATTTCATCTCTTGATGTTGAATAGAGACATAACTTCATGTTTGAAAGGAAATGGAATTATTCCATTTGGGATGGAGAGAGTGCAATTTTTATGTGGAAAGAAGACAATGGTATTTTCACTAAGATGGCAAGGAAGAATAATAAACATTGTTTAATAATGGCCAAATAATAATTGGTTGACCGAAGTTTATTAAAAGTTTGTTGTTTGTCGTTGTTCTATGTGATAGTGAAATATTTTGTTGGGTTAGGAACTTAACCATCACTTTTTAGAATTCATTAACTTCTAGAAGACACTTATACATGAAGCACAGGCCCTTCTGATGGAAGCTATTTAGGAACAAATAGATTGGTTGCATGACATTAAGGACTTGCTCTTTTTAATCTTATACCATTTGAGGATTTGACTTTACAAAACTTTAGAAAATCTTTATTATCCATTAGACATTGAACAATATTGATTCCAATTTTTTCGTACCTGACTTTTCTACTGCGTACTCTCTAATATTGGATGTGCCCATTATTCTTTATGGCTTCCTTGATGAGCATTTTATGAACATGTGAGCTGATGCAAAAAATTCTGTAATTGAACATTTAATTCCTCATGTTAGGAGCTCTAACTGGTTAACCAGTGTATTAATAAGAAGAATGGAGAGGATAAACATATTTTGTAGCTCACTTTGTTGACGTCGCTTTTCAAGAAACATATAATTTCTATATGGAAAACCAAAATTTATGCTCAGTTTATTTCTTTTGAGCAATCAAACTCCAGAGGAGCACTTGTCATGAATTCATTTGTTATATGTTTGGTTCCAAATGCAGGATCACCATTTTTCTCTGTTACAACACGAGACTGAAAAACTCAAGAGTGATATAGAAAAAATGCGCAGTGAGCTGAGGTCTGTATGTAAACAGTGTGAACTGCATATGATACCATTTTTTTTGTTCATATTTGTCTGTTTTGAACATCAAATGATATTCATTTTCGTACAGATATGAAATGGACAAAGTTACAGCTGGGCAACGTTTGGATCTTAATCTTGAAAGGGGGTAAGTTGTCCCAATAACCAAGATCACATATTATGTACACTTTTAGTGCCATATGGATACTTTTAGGTTGTTTATGTGTATTTCCGCCTATGCAGGAGAATTCGGGACGAGTTGTCCAATCAAAATCAAGAAACTACTAACCTGACTAACAAACTCGACAGAGTGAGTATATCTAGCTGCTGAAAGATAATTTGTTCCACTCGGTGTATTTTTGACCTTATCACTTCCAAATTTATTTTTTCTCAGGAAATTCATGCATTGCGAGCTCAGTTGGAAGCTGCAAAATACGACGTGATAAAATACTGCATAGGTACCCTCGCCTCTGTATCTGCTGTTGGTCTAGCTGTGATTCGAATCCTGATGTAAGTTGGCACTGCAAAGTAATTCCGATTTTGGAGGAATTATATTAATTGTCATGTTCAAACTCCTTGGATATTAAATGGAAAAGAAGAAAGGTAGAACTTCCTTCTACATAGTAACATTCAAAGCAACATTGTAATCTCTTGATCTTTCATTTCGTCAAACATAGTAGTAGGCATAGGTGTATTCTTTTTCGAAATTTGTGGTTGGCTTGTTATCAAGAACTTGATTAATACCAGTGGCTAAATCTTGATATTCTAAGTAAATTTGAGCATTTTTCTAGTCGAGGTGTTCTTCTCATATAGGTTTTGCTTTCCGAAGGTCATTGACCTTGTAACACCACAATGGCTACAATATCAATCTAGGTGGTACTAATTAGAAGTGATAATATGTAATCCAGTTACATTGGTGCTTAGCACCATTAAGACTGAGCCCGTGTTTGACGATATATTATTTTTAAACTATTTTTTTACATATTCATTTTCACATTCACATAACAAAATATTCTGTACGCAAATTCAAATTTTTTTTTCCTATTTTTAAACACACATTCTCCTAAAAATTACTATTCAAAAATCTATTTTCTTCATATAATGATTGTCAAACAAGGGCGGAATAACATTATTCTTTTATTATATTTTTCATCATACATTATTTAGTGCCACCGAGACTAATATATCAGGGGTGCTATACATGGAGAAACTAGAAAGTGCTAATTTATTTCGAGTAATGCTGTTTACCACAGTTGATAGTCAATGGTATGATAGCAAAGTTACTAACACTTAACCACATGATAATAATAAGAATAATGTTATATAGTATGGCGGGGAAACTTTTTTCTTTTAAGACTTGAATACGAGTGTGCATTCAGAGCACTAGTAATTGTTATCTAAATTTATGTTTGGCGTTAGTAGTACTGCATAATATTACTAGATTAATAAATGGTAATTTTTTTTTGCCCTCAATTTTTGTTTTCACTGTAAATGGTAATATAAAAACTATATTAATAAATTAGTTTGGCTGTATTGTTGTCCAATCTTTGATGTTCCCCTTATTTTATTTGTTGTACTAGAATGCCAAAAAAAAGTGTAATAGCAAGTTTTATCTATCTTCTATTGAAAAATGCAACAATAAGCAAGATAAAAATTGTTTCTTAATTTTTTACTGGGGAATTGACGTAAATGGTCTCTAGCTTGTGGGTTTGCTGTGCAAATGATCCCTAACCTTTAAATATTGGAGTAAATTTCTCTTAACTTTTCATTTAACAATCATGATTAGCGTCCAATGTTGTTGGCAACATTGTCGACACATGCCATATGGCATGTTGTCATTTGATGGTTTAGAAAATAATTTAGAGTAATACTATAGGTACAGAGAAATTTTCACAGAAATTTTACAGGATGTCACATGGCACAGATTTATTGGCAGATAATAAAAAATCAAAAATTTGTCTACAAATCAGTGCGGCTGTGTATGGATTCTGTGAGATTATCCCAGTACTTAAAAGAGAATTTTCTAATAAGTTATCCTTCCAACCAACACTTTATCCTAAATTTAATGGGCGCATTTGATCATTTTGAATGGATTCCATTAGGACTGGCTGTAAAAATCAAACTTTTGATGTGAAGAACTTCAGTCAAATAAATAAAATAAGTAAAAAGACAAAAGTGTGCTCTTCCTATCAACACTTAATCCCCGATTTATTTCATACATGGATGTAAATGTAATTATATTATTATTTTAAGAAAATAAAAGACACTTAGATAGCAACCTATACAATGCTTTGAAAACTATGAACCTGCTAGAAATCAATGTCATGTATTGAAAGTACTTCAATATCTATTTTTTCTCTATCTGGAGTCTTGACAAAAGAAAAACAAAATTGCGTTTCTTAAAGAATAACTCTCCAATGCAAGTTGATAATGACTCTTTCACAATGATGGAACAGAGAAAAATTAGATATTTTAGAGTCTCGTCTACATGTAGAAACTCCGTAGACGTGCTAGCAATATTTTATATTTCATATATAAATTTAAATGTGATTTAAAAGATGCATGGACGTCAATCTATAGAATGCATTGGAAACTTAATTTGAAGTTGTTAGACATCAATGTCATGTAAACTAAAAGCTTCTCGATATTTACTTTTTCTTCCCACCACATTATCTAGACATAGTCTTTATTAGCTTGTATTGTAAATGAATTTTTAAAGTGTTAAGCCACCTGTACAGAATAATGTTGCCAGATTATTGCCAGGGAGAAAGATGGCTTTTTTGGATTGGATGTTGGCAGGAAAAAAATTAAAACAAACCAACTAAATGTTGACACTTGGCATCCTGTACAAAATCTGGCAAAATCCTCTGTACATCTAGCATAGCTCATTTTTAAATACATGCTATTTTGCTTACATGACATAAATTTTAACAATCCCGCTACATTACCAGAAGCCGTTGACATAGGTTTTGACAGGTTGACGTGGCAGACACCGTGGCAATGACGTGGCGACACCATGGCAATGACGTGGCCGATTCTCTTAAATGCCACTTTATCATTTTGAAATTCAAAATTGAATTTAAAATAACCCGACCCTGCCCGAAGGCTACACCCGTTCTCCCACACCACCTAAACCTAAATCACTCAAATCAGTTCCCCCTTTTGGAACCCTCAAAATCGCACCAGACACCCAATCGTCCTTCTCCTCTGGCCCATCTTCTCCAGCAACCCAAATCCAACCTTACAATGAGAGGTAAAAATTACGGAGTTTGCCATAGCTGTAGAAGTAAAGAGCATTTTTTTGCTGAATGCCCGAACAAACGCCCCTGTCCATGGTGCAACACTGGCTTCATCAACCAAGGTAGACTCTTCAATACTTGCAGCGTGAACTGTGGATTTTGGGATTGGGTCGATGCGGGTGAAACGAGTGGCATATCGAGGTCCATTAATGTTGCGAACGCAATAGCTGAAGAT